CTTTTGGTGGTCGCAAAATGTACGACTCCTCATTGGATCCATGTACAGAGATGTGTTCTTTCCTTGCATTGCGTTTAGAAGTAACACATAACCAAACTAGAAGACCAGATATGTTCCTTCCTTCTTTAACCCATATGCTCTAAAGGTTGGACTGACCAAATTCATTGTTTGAACAACAATGTTATCAGCAATGACTAAAAACCTGAAAAATGAAGGAATAATGGTGGATGATAGACAAATTATTCCCTGTAGAAGAATAGCCCCTTCACAGCAGCAAATTATTGGTCAGCTGCAATAACAGAATGACCTTATTAGAGCTTGCCAAACAAGATGATAAGAATATTAGTCAGGAGAAGGGAAAGTTTAATTAGGGATTAAGGATTATATCACAGATACTCAAAGAGCAGGTTTAAAAAAAAAAAAGTTTTCATCATGAAGCCGGTACCTACCCAGGCATCTGTTTGGATCAGTTGAGATGATCTGAGAACTGGGATTTAAACCGGTTTGTTTTCTGTTTGTTTGGTTTTTTTTCAGTTGATGTGCTCAATAAACAGTTGTTGTTTTGTAGGACACAGAGGGGCCCCTGTCTCTGTGTGAGCTGTGTCTGGCTCAGGTGTGCCTCAGCCTAGATACTTTGTGCACCAGACGTCCTGATCACTCTCTGTGCCTCAGTATTCCCACAGTCTTCCCACAAGAGATTGCAGACCAGCTTCTTCATTTGATGAGTAAAAAAGGTGAGAGACCGAAATCAGTGTTTTCTTTTGTATTTGGGCGGTTACCGACAGCATACCACTGGTTTGAGTTTTAGTGAAATTAGAGTTAATATTATTACAATTATATCTTAACTCTTTAGATGCCAAAGTAAAAGCATTGGTGCGTGAGCTCCTGGAGCTCCTGTTACCTTTGGACCAATGGCTCCTATTTGTTATTATTGCAATTTCTCTGTTCAAACTGTTCGATTCTCTGATCTGTTGTTCGCGAATCAACAACTCTTTAAAGTCCTCTAAGACAATTGCTGTTGTGATTCAGGGCTATACAAATAATACATTGAATTGAATTGACACATTCATACAGCAACCTGGCTTACCACATTTGTCTTAAATCTTTTCATTTGATTTATTTCCATTATTATGTTCTATTTTTCAGTATTCCTCTATTTTTGTATTGATAGAGGAATACAGTATTCTACATTCTTTGAAAAGGGTTCATTCAATTCATATAAATATAGTGAGTGATCCTATCTTTCCATACAGTATTGAATAATTTTGCCTGTTCTCCCCAGGTATACTTAACGACTCAACAGCTGGGATTTTCCGAGACTGCAAACAGTTCCGTCTTCGTCGAGCCACCATCCGCTCCTGCACTATATCTACAGACGCTTTCCGCCTGGCCCTCTGCCCCCACAGACTCCAAGAACTGGACGCATCCTGGGTCTCCGGAGGCCTCACAGGAGCTGATATCATCTCAGGCCTCGTTTCTAACCTGGAGTGCAGAAAAAGCCTCCAGAGGTTGTCCCTGAATGGACTTTGTTTAGATTGGAGTACTTTAAAGAATGAAAGAGGCTGCATAGGGTTCAGCTCTCTGCAGGGTGTTCGGACGCTCTGTCTCGCCAACACAGACCTCAACGATGAAGTCCTCGAGGATATATGCGCTCTGCCACAACTGGAAATGCTGGATATTTCTTGCTGTGCTGTCTCAACCCTCACTCCCCTGCTCCAGTGCAAAAACTCACTCAAATCATTGATAGCACATCGACTCAGGCAGCTTGATATGTCCTCATCTAGACTGCTTTCAGTCCTCACTCAACTCCAATGTGTGAGACATCTTGACTTTTCCGATGACCACTTGAGCGAGGATAGCGATGGCAGCAGCACAGATGAGATGGTGAGGCAACTTCTGGAGGGTAGTCCCCAGGTTCTCCCATCCCTGGTGTCTCTGGACATATCAGGGCGAAAGAGAATCAGCGAAACAGCAGTGAGAGCCTTTGTGGAGGCCAGGAGTGGAGTCGTTTTCCTCGGGCTGATGGCGACTAGCGTTAGCTCCTGCGATGCCCTTGAGAAATGCAAGAATCTAAAGGTCAGTGTTTTTTAAGTCACTGATGAGGCGTGTGGTTCATATGTTTTTCATTTGTCTTTTTCTGGAGGGGCCTTTTGCGTATTCCTGTATTCACTTTGCATTTTCCGTCTTACATTAATGTTTTGCTGGTTGCTTTTAGGTAACTGGAGAAGCTAATGAGAGCCAGGTGTGTGAGGCTTTGAGAAGGTACAGAGACAGAGAGTGTTTCATTCGAGAGGCCCTTGTCCATCTTTACAATCTCACCACAGACATCGACAAACCTCGGCCCGATTTGCTCAAGGTAGGTTTCTCACAAAACAGTTGATACCTAAAAATAACAAAAAATGTACTGATTCATACCGCAATCATAATATGTCGAAGGTAAAGTAAATAAAAAATAAAGCCATTACAGAAAGTCCATCCATCCATCCATTTTCTACCCTTTAATCCATTTCTGGGTCAGGGGGGTGGCAATCAGAGATGCCACCCAAGTCTCATAGCACCAGCCCCTCACTGACCCTCTGCAGGTGGTGAGTCCACAGGAGGACGGCTGCTCTCTGAGTGTGAGCATAGCCTTGATCTTTCAGAGCATTACAGAAAGTTCTAAAACTATACTGGAAATGTCAACATTCTTGAAAATGTGATTATCTTCCAGTGTAGATTATTAAATCATTATCATTATCAAATTATACCTGATTTGAATGAATCTGGATCTAATATTTAGAATCACATGCAGTCCTCACTAAAGAATGCGTAAACGTGTATTTGAAAATCATTTCCATGAACAAGAAGTTTCAACATGTTTCTATGTTAAGCAAATTAATCAGAAATATCCAAACTTTAAACTTAATCATAATTTGTTTGAGATCACTCTCCAAACTTGTTTTCTTAATATCATAGTCCTGTGGATTGGCTCTGATAAACATGTGACCAGAACACAACCATAAAACTCATGTTTAAATGTGTGTTTGTGATTGTTGTGAAGCTGGTGTTGAGTGTGATGCAGAGCCATCCCTCGTCCCTGCACGTGCAGCTGGTGGCCACAGCCTGTGTGTTTCATCTGACCACTCAGAGCCTGTGCGAGGCCATGCCCCTGCCCCTGCTCTCCTGCACCGTCACTCAGCTGCTGCTGGCCATGGACACCTTTCCCAGTAATACACAAGTAAGACAATATGTTCTGGTTAAACATCTTTCGTTCGCCATTTTCCTGACTCTACCTCGAGGGTCAGCACAGACCATTCCACCTCCATGACAGATCTCTCTTTGCAGGTTCAGAAGAATTGTCTTTTAGCTCTTTGCAGTGACTTCATCCTTCAGGAGGTGCCGTTTGATAAGTGTGTTTGTGTTTTTACATCTTTTATAACAACAGATCAAAATGTAGACATTATTCTTGTCATTTTAATTGTGGCTCTTACAACACACTGTTGCACACAGAGAGTCTGTCCTGGAGTTTTACACAAGACAATGGAAACGTTTATATTAAGTCTCACACTATATGGCAGTTTACAGTGGAACTGTGAAGTGCCCACCCTCCGCCAGGTTCTAGAACTAAAATAACGCATGGTTTCTCATACATATGGAAAATTATAAAATAATAATATCTTGCTTTTTGGGATGGAAACTGCAGTAGATTTTTTATTACACATGACCTATTCACAAGCTTCTGGGGATCAAACATTCCTTATGTTTGATGGTTTAGGTATGTTGCAGTCTCATTGGTGATCACCTGGTTAAGCAGTCATGAGGATCCTACTCTTCAGAGAATGGCTGTAGCTGTCATCTCCATCATTATATCAAAGGTACAATTGAGCATGACTGTTGTGACCGCGTGTTATTGTCTGCGAATGTGCTTAGTTATTTCTTTGTTTACTCAAAAATGTAAATTGTGATTTCATTTAGTACAGTTTAATTATATCATATATATACGCCTTCCATTTGTTTTGTTTGCAGATGTCCTCAGAAGAGACAGCTCAGCTCAGTAAGGACGTCTCTATAATGAAGGTACAATTACACTTCTGGGGGTATTGGTTTCAGACCCATGAGAGGACTCCAGTGTAACAGCTGATATGCATGAGTGTATTTCTGGGCCTATGTCTTCATCACCTGCTATATTTCCATTACTCACTACTGTTCAAATGGGGTTTTGAGTGTGGCTGAAGTGATGCAATGCACAGTATACGTTGTAGTTATTATTTTTCAAATGTTGGAGATGTAAACTTGCATTGTTTGTGTTTTTATTTTATACTTTATTAGATACATACATTTGAAGCAACTCAACTGTTGTTTTCTATTACTGATTTTTTAAAAGTTGTCATATATTATCTGCATGTAGAGCACACATGCACGCATAGACATACAGTATATACATTTCAATCACACTTTTTTTTTTTTCCTTGTAGCAGCTTCTGACTGTAGTTCAGCAGAAGGCCATGGTTGGAGTGGTGGACTCGACTTTGAAGTTTGCCTTAAGTGCTTTGTGGAATCTGACCGATGAGATGCCCAGCGCAGCTCGCAACTTCCTCGATTGTCTGGGCCTGGAGCTGTATGAGGAGGTTTTAGAGGTACAGTGCACTCTGCCACAACTGGGAATGCTGGATAGTTCTTGCTGTAATATCGTAGTAGCAGTAATATCGATCATTTGACATTACTTTGACCTTGTCTTACAGACCTTTTGCACCGAACCATCAGTTCAGCAGAAAGTCCTTGGTCTTTTGGTAAATAGTTTTTGTTGTGTACTTTGAGACACAACACACCTGTATATCAAGAGCATGACGTGTGTGTATAGAATAATCTGGCAGAGGTGGAGGATCTGCAGTCCGATCTCATGGATGAAGATCTTCTAGAGCATGTCCTCAGTCTCCTGCAGGACGGACAGTTGGATGTCGGAGTCCGCTATTTTGCCGGTGGAGTGTTGGCTCATCTTGCTTCCAGACCAAAAGCCTGGACTTTGGATGAAGAGCTCCGCACCACTACCATTTCCCAGCTGGTGCGTTTAAAGACTGACACAATAGGCTGTTTTACAGAGCGTTCACTTTTCTTCTAAAAAACCTTGTTCCAGCATTCATCTATAATGACGTGGAGCCACCTGGAGCGAGAGATGGTCTCCTATCGGTAAGAGAACTAAGAAAGAAATGTGTCTGTAAACATTACTTTACAGACACATTCTATGTGGCCATACCTGCATACCTCTGAAGTTAAGCAGGGCAGGGAGATCTCTGGAAACTCCAGGTGCCACAGTGGGGTGGCTGTAAAGTGCCAAACTGTTGTTGTGTCCTTAGGCAAGACACTTCACTGACATTGCCTAGAATGAGTCTGATGTGTGTGTGAATAGTTGGTGGTTGTCGGAAGGGCCGATGGCACATAATGGTTGCCTCACTTCTGTCAGCGTGCCCCAGGGCAGTTGTGGCTACAGTTTTAGCTTATCAATGTGTGTAGAGTGAAAGAATAATGACATGCGAAGCGTCTTTGAGTGTCCAAAAAAGCCTTATATAAAACCAATGCATTATTTACTTGAGAGGAATTTTTTTGATGTATTTGCTTTGCATCTGTAGACCACTGACTTTGGTGGGTGATTAATTCCCAAATGATTTGTTATTAACAGTTTCTATTTCTGCGCAAATTATATAAATGTCTATTTTATTGTTCCGCGTGTAATTGTGTATTATTTGCTGACTTATCTGCACCATGTATGTTCTCAGGTCATTCCAACCCTTCTACCCCCTGCTTCAGACCAGCCAGCCCTCAGGAGTGCAGCTGTGGGCAGTTTGGGCCATACATCTGGTCTGCAGTCAAAACAGTAAGACACTTTTTAATTTAATTTAATTTAATTTTGATCAACTTTTTTCCGTTTTTAAATATAAATACATTCCAATTACACAATTTATATGCTTCTTTTTATCAGCTTGTTTTTTTATTATTTCTACTTTCATCTTTTTAGCCGCACATTACTGCAGCATGTTGGAGCTGGAAGGTGTGACTGAACTTCTCAAAGCGTTGGCTGCTCACTCGGAGACCCACCATGACGTCAAAGAGATGATCGACAGCATTTTGTCTCTGGTAGAACGACGTTTAAGTGAGGACTAACAAATGTTGAGCCGTATTAAATGTAAGAGTGAGTGCACCGTTACAAAACAGCCTTTTATCATTTTTCTGATAGTCTGTATTTTTAAATGATTTGATATATAAGTAATTTACAATAAATTACGTTATTTGTATAATACTGAGTATTTGTAATGATAACGTTTCTGTCTAGCATTGGTCACTAGAGGGTGCTAGAGCAACAAGTAAAATTCTCCTGATTTTGCTCCTGAAGATTTAAACTATTAAAGCAATTATTTATTTAAATAAATGCATTAACGAACATCCTGTTCATTACCCATAACATACAAAAATAAAACCGCTTGTATATATGGTTGCTATTTGAATTAAATATGTGTTTATTTAAAACTTGTACAAGACATGTCATATATTTATTTATTTAATATAGACACAACAGTTACATTGAACAGACCAGATCTACTGTCCTCAGTGTTATTAGCAAGACCATGCTAGTTTTCGGCACTTGTCCATAGCATTACCAATAGGTAATGGTATGTTCCTTTTAATAAAACCGTTTTAATCCCCTGAATTACCAATATTGTACCAGCACAGGGGACTGCTCTGAAAACTGATCCTGGGTCAGAATTTAGTCACATCTTGTAAATGGTTAAACCCGGGTCATCTATAATGTGTGAGAGTTATTATTAGCGTGTGTCTTTTCATATGGCGTTTGTATGCGTACATGGAAAACTGTGCATGTCAGGCAGCCAATTAGATGGTAAATCCAAAGGGTAATTGAGTAGTATGGTTACATTAATTAGGTCTGAGGTTTCTGTCGCTGCTACAAAGAATTCATCAATATTTAAGTGACATATGAGCTGTTGGAAAGCACAATAGGAAAGAATCTCAAATGCACTAGATGGCTATTGAAGGGGAAAAAATAGCAACTCCTGCCTAAAAATAAGATAAACAAGGTCAAATATAGATATCTACAGATAGTCACTGAAAGTCCCTTATTGCTTTATGAAGATGATGCAAAAATACACAGACCAATTTGCAGTATGCCTGTCTCAGCTGGAAATGTCATTGTGAGATTTTGAGTTGGAGCTTAGTGTGAGTAAGCATTGCGTTATCTCTCCCATGCAGCCCGCTCTTTTGGCTTAACGCAACCACAAACCAGCCTGAGTACGCCACTGTACCACACTGCTCACCTCAAGAGAGGAGCTAAGAGGAGAGAAGAGTTACCAGCCTGGGAACTCGTGTTATTTCAAAACATAATTAATCATGGTTTTTGTTGCATATTTCTTGGTATTTTTTTAATGATGAGAAACAGTTCACTGCATGATGCCATCAGCAGCTAATAATAATACATTGATCGTATGGAGCCTTACCTGCCTGTGAAAGCCTGACCCTGTCAGATCTCAGAAGCTAAGTACTGTCCAGGCCCTGCCCATCCTAAGCAGGTACCATGCCAAAGTCGTGGGTTCAATCCCATGGTTCACTCGCACCACAATCCATGACATCTGCTCCCAACCACATCTGCTGTGGTTGGGAGACACTTAACCCTTCTTTGCCTGAAGCCCCCGTTGTTTCTGGCTGTAATCTTCATTGAAGGAGCAGCCAACTTCCTGTGGACCCACCACCTGCAGGAGGATCAGCGAGGGACTGGTGCTTTGTGAATTGGGTGGCAGCTCTGATTACCACCCCCCCCAACCCAGAAATAGATTTTTTTTTTAGAAAATGAACATTAAATTACATTTTATTTATAAAGCGCTTTTCATACAAATAATGCAACAAAATGTCCATTGAGCCGTCAACCCAATCCGCTGAACACTGTCACATAAAATAGGTACAGCTCCATCTGAGGAGCAGACTGCCGCCTGCAGACCACCACTCCCAGTGTAACCTCCAGAGGGAATACTGCTGATACTAAAACAATAAAAATAAGAAGTGAAGTCTAAAAGGACTATAGCAAAATACATATTTAAAAAGTATGTGTAAAGGTAAACTAACTAAATAGAATAGGTTAAATACAGTTAAATAAATAGATACTGGTCAAAAATACCCAAGCGAGAAAAGAGAAAGTGTTGATGTAGTATTACCTTTAGGAGGGGATTTGTTGTTCAAGAGTCCAAGGTGAGAAGCCGAGGATGTGGGACAGGGGGGAACACTTAGAAGTGAATAAGACCTGCCTCACAGCCAACCTGGCAGCATCTGTATGAGCTGAACAGTCCACAATCAACTGAACCTGTTGTTCATGTAAATGTCTCCTGTTCTGTTCAGAATCCACTGTCATCTAATGAAATGGTCAGATTTAAGATGCATCGTTTTAACCTCTGAAATGCAGTGCTCATGAGTCATGTGGCAATGAGGAAGTAAATGCATCGGGTCGGAAAGGTTAAACTACAAGACGAGGCAAAGTACCACTGGCAGGACAGTGATGTTACTGTACTTCAGGACACGTGACCTTAGCACGAGCACTAGGCCCGAGAGGGAAATCTGTGCCAAGTCAATATCAATCATATTAGTAACTTTCCCATAGGCAGAAGAACAGAGGCAGGGTGGATTAGATTAAACCTTTATGTGTTGTCAATGGAGAGCTAATGTCACAACATCACATTTATGTTGTGCCTGTATTGTGATCAGCGTTTTGGAATCATACAAGTTTTTATTGAAAAAATGTAAATATCCATTTTGTAATGGCCGGCCTCTTCACAGATCTGTTTTGTGACTTTTTTCCGTGGACATCCATGGACATCCATACTGTAAAACTAAAAGCAATCGTAACACTGTAGAAAGTTCTATTGGTCATATTTTAGTAGATTTGACCAGGCTGTCAGCTGTTATAAATGTTTGCTTTTTGCATTTCTAGTAAATGTCACTACTAATGAGTTTTATACATCCCCCTGTTCTGAGCTGTAGTGTACTCTGCCTCAGGACATTCTACACATTGTATTGTGAATAAGTGAATGTGTCATGCAGTCATTACGCTCAGTTAGAGAGGCTCTTACTTGATGTCACATCTGCAGTCAGTCAGTGGACATTTACAGTGCAGCAGTTGCCTTCTGGTCAGGGAGACAACAGTGTTACAAAAGCATGACTCAGAAAACTCAGACGATAAACAAGGCCGCCAGCATCATGAAGCACTGTACATTTCTTCAATTCGCATCAAGAGCACACTCAAAAACATCCTGTTTTAGTAAAAACAGAATCAATTTTTTTTGTAAAAAAAAAAGAAAAGAAAATAAGATACATAAAAGATAAAGTTCATAATATCTGCTTGTTGTTTGCCTGCATCTTATGCATGTTATACATTAGCCTGTAACAAATACAAGTTTAGACAACAATGCGGCTGAAGAATGTGAAGAGAAAGAGATAAACTACTTTTTTCACAATTACGAATCATTCAACCCATTAATTTGTTTTGTTTTAACCATTCCATTGTATGAAATGACTTTATATCAGGGAACGTGTCTTAATGGTAGATAAGAATCCACCGCAACTTCTCTATTGCAAAAACAGCTTTTTTCCCTAGATTGCCCTGTCCTTCACTCCATGCACTTTCCCATCAACTCTTGACTCTCTTCCTTGTCCCTGAAGAAATGCATTGCCACAAAAAGGATGTTACCACCAGATTTAACACTATGTGAAAGAAGTTAACCCTCCTCAGTTTGCGTAGAGAGATGTGCAGTTATCTCACACACAGAGGTTTGTGTTTTTCCTAAAACGTTCCATTTTGGTCTTTATGTTTATGGCTATGACAGAGAAACAAGGGGTATGAATGCTTTCAAGCCACTTTATCTATGAATTATGGAGTGTCTGTGTGTCTGTGGCATGCACAGCTTGCTGACGTTTTGTCAGGTTGACCTAAGAGTTACGGCTTACACACTTTTCATATTTTGGCATTGTTGTTCTTCATTTCCTAAAATTATTTTTGTCTCTTTGACTTACAGGCACTGCAGTATTAACTAACCTCTAACTGCTGTTGTTGAATACTATTTATTTTTATGATTCACTTTGCTGACTTGAACCAGCTACATTCTATTTCTAGGCTGCCCCCACCTTGCCTTTGGCATCACATGGCCTCATCAGTTTCTTCTGCAGATTCATATTGTGATTTTCACCTCCCAATGCAAAATTCAGCATGTGCACTCTATACGTAAGAAGAAATGTTTGCTCTAATGCAGCCTTGAGTCGTGTTCACTATGATGTAATGAGCAGAAGGAACAAGGAGCCGATTTGTAATATGGTTGAAACTCTGAAAATTAGTATACGGTTCAAAAGCCGCTTTAGGCGCATTCAAAACATGATTTCAATTCTATTTTGTTTTATCTATGGTAAGCCATAATCATCCAAATTTAACGATGGCTTAACATGAGTCACTTTGCATGTATCTGGTCCATCATACATGGTTTCACATTATGGAATTACAGAAATGAATGAACTTTTGAACTATATTCTAATTTTTAGAGTTTGACCTGCATAGCATTGTTACCACCACAGAATGTGTTGTACAGTGTTTATGTGATCCTGTATGTTAGGAAAACAATCAGTACTCCCCTGCATTTATAAATTCATTTACAAATACAATTCAGACAAAGATTGTGTCCAGACACAATTATCTAAAGTCATAGTTTAATAGTGTTTTCCTGCAGCCATGATTAGAATCAATTCCATTACAAAAAGATAACGTTGTACTACTAGTTTCTTACATTTGGGCTGGAAAGGGTCTTTCACATTACTATCTTCACATGATTGGATTTTTAGCCCTCAAGTTTTATTTACACAAGTGTTAAGGCTTTTGGTGCAACAGTCCATGCTGAGAACAGAGGCATAACTAATAACAGTTACAAGGACAACGTTCCATCGCATTCTGATGTGTAAACACCTTACTCCTGTTCCAGTACATGTTTACCACACGCTACATAAACCAGAGATGAATGTTTAGTACAAAACAACACAATTGCACGCCCAAGCTCAAGCATTCCATTCTCTATTGCATTATTTTGATATAGTTATGGCTTAGGACCATATACAATTGTACAATTACCATAGAGTTCAAGTGCATAATGAGGGCTCCCCCTGTTTTCTTGGACATAAAAACTCAGACACAAATAGATAATAAATGTAAAGAATGAAAACATTTTTCAGTTATATGTCCTGATTTAAACAATGCCATAGTGTTTAAATTGGTCAGATCACCTACGAACAGAACTGTTGGAGACTCTTCTCAGTTCAGAGGCACTGTGTGTTCTAGGAGGAGTCCCTCACACTGTGTGTGCACTGTTTAGATTCCCGTTCTCCTGGTCACTCCTGCTCCCAGTCTCCAGCATCTCCCCCTCCTCTTCTGGATCCACCTGCTGGTCCTTCTTCTTGATGTAGCGCTCATACAGCACCATGATGACCCCCATGAACCAAGCCGACACAGTTCCAGCCGCAAATATGGCAAAACCGATGAGGACAAAGAACAGGTAGTCCCAGGACCCCAGCGTCTGGTGACACAAAGTGCGTAACTGGAGGCCCACTTCTCCCAGGCGGTTGCCCTCGAGATCCACAGGTGATCCACACACCGTCTGACCCTCATCTGTCACACACAACACACACAAACAGTCGAGTGAGGCCCCTGTAAATATGCGTAATCCAGAGGCAGGTTGTTCACACACGGAGCTTGACTCCAGGGCTGATGTTCATCGCATCATGTTGATGATTCAGACTTTGGCTTTCGTTTACACAGAACTCCTTAGGCAGAAAACATTTCATTTTTGTGACAAATTGCTGATAACCTGCTCAGACTGCATTATCAAAGCCTTTGATGTTACATATCAAAGTGCCCTGACCGCCAGAAATATTATGGCATTAAACACTGATGAATTATTCATGCATTCGGTGCATATTGGTGTGAAGAGCTATGATAAATGCATGAGCGCACGCATTTGTAGCTATTCAGGACACTGCAACCAAAATGTTAAGAACTGCAGAAATTACAGCTCAGTTCATGTTCATATTCTTTGCTGTGCTTAGTTGTTCTACTAACTACACCAGATTAATAATTTACCGTCTCTTCTCACCACAAACTGGAATGGAGATGTGGCCCGTTGTCCCCACCTCAAACTGTTCAATCCTGCTTCACTGGGGAAAGCTGTTTCATCTCAGAATCTATCTATTCTCCAGTAAAAGGTTTAGTTATGTCTGTATTTTCAAACCAGTAGATGTCGTTCAGCTACGATTTATGTGTCTGGAGTAAACATTTGCACAAATTACTCTTGTAAGTCATCTAACCAGGAAGACAAGATTGAGGAGAATCTGTTGGTTCCTTTCCTAAAGCTCTCTTTAAAATGTTATTTGTTTATTGATATTTATTGATGAATGTGTCACATATTTTTCCTTTTGGGGAAGTATCTACTGGTCTGAGGACAGAAATGACACATGGACAAATGATTGTTGGTGGTTCAATTGTAAAACATCTATCATCAGCCATAACTTTTTACTGATGAATAAATATATTTACTGCAATAAATAAATACATGATAATAATAATGTTACTGTAACACGTACAACAGGCCTGTGTCAATATCAAAGGGTAGTCGTAGGTTGTAGTTCTGGCAGATCCCTGGTCCTCTTCGTATCACTGTTTTTTTTTGCTACATTAGCTCAGTAGGTAGAGCATTGGCCTTTGGGTCTGAAGGTCGTGGGTTCGAACCCACCACGGGACCTACTCCAACTGCTCCCACTAATGTCTGCTGTAGTTGTGTCCTTGGGCAAGACACTTAACCCCACATTGCCTGAAGCTCCCGCTGAAACACCAAGGCTGTGTCACGGCTGACGGAGCAGCCATCTTCCTGTGGACCCACCACCTGCAGAGGATCAGCGAGGGACTAGTGCTATGAGCGTTGGGTGCAGCTCTCGTTGTCACCCCCCCGACCCAGAAATTGACTAATAAAGGGGCAGAAAATGAATGAATGAATGAATGAGTTTCTTTTGCTTTGCCTTTTCATTTTTTTGGGCTTTGAAGCAGTGCATATTACACTTTGCGCTTTGGCTGGATTGGTAATCCTTATCATGAACTACCTACCGACCAGACTGTCTTCTTTTCCAGAGTGAGGGATTACTTAAAAGGAAAAAGTCTTTTCAAATGTGCATCATTGGTCAGAGACAGCCCTCTTCCTCATGGCTCTGTGCGCGTGTGCATGTTCCTGACAGCTATAGAGGAAAGCCCTTCTGGCTTAGAGCACCCCACCCCCTTATAGAGACTGGCATCAAAGCAAAAGGGCTTTCCTCTCTCCTCTCCCCATCCAGTATGCTCTATTTCAGGACTGGCTCCTTATATAACAGCTGGGGGAGTGCTAATCTAGCCAGGAAGACAAGACAAATGTGAATCTGTTGGTTCCTTTCCTAAAGCTCTCTTTCTCTCTTGGATTCCTTGGTCTGACTCACTCACAATTCACGTATGTCCCTAAACGGAGGAGACAAGCAGACACGCACCAGGTGAGCCCAGGACGAGAAATAACACAAAGTGATGCCCAAAACACTGACTGATGCGTTGTGTTGTCCTGCCCTCATAACATATATTTAATTCTTCCCAAATATTAGACTCTATAAATGGTTTCAGTGGTTCATTAGATGTGGAAATATGTATTTAAACCATATGGAGCGGACATGGGGGATTTCTTCAGAAAGAGAGACGTATTTGCATTGATTTGCATAATATGTGACAACTCAACACTCCTGATGAAACTTTTATACTATGGTTAAAAAAACTATGGTCTTGGTTGTCTGTGGCTTTATTGTTAGTTAATTATTATTTTAAATTTGGTGAAAGCAAAATATTTCCTCATATACTACGACCTGGAAATGCGGGTCTGTACAAAAGCTATAAATGTTTCCTCATTAATTCAAGTTAAAAGTAATGAAACAGCCGCCGCTTACAGGGGAGAAAACAAATCCTGCCCAACAGTTATAGTTGATAAGAGCTGCACCATTTCATAAACATTGATAATTGTGTTAATCTACAAAAAAATAGAAACCATGAATGAGAGTGAAAGTGGCCCTACTCTGTTCCCTTTGCCACAGACAAAAGGACAATCAGGATGAAATAGGGCAGCTCTTGCAGGACATGTTGAGCTGCACAGGGACTTGTGCTGAGTGTTACAGACTCGTTCATTGTAGGGACAAGCCGGGGATGCCTTCTGAGCGGGTGCACGTATTATATTCATGGTGTCAGAACCATGACTGGCCTCTGCTCACTAACATAAACTATAAATAGTCCATGGCCTTTACATAGTGACAACCATACACCCAAGTGAAGATAAAATGTGCAGAGAACCAAATATGCATCAACTTGACAAAAGCCAAACAAAAGGGGAATCAATATTAGACGCTTCCGAAGTGACTATTTGTTATGAAGCAGTCAATATTGTTTCAGTTATTTCCAGAAAGTATTGGTTGCCGGAGGTAAAATTCAAGAGACATTTTTTGTTGCGCTGTCTTAGCAATGTCGGGTTTCAAATTAGACAGAACAAAAACACTATATGTTATGACAGGAATACGGTTTTGCCCACCACTAACTTTTTTGTCCCTGTTTTTTCCTTTTAAATCTGGGGAACCATAACTTTCAAACCACAAAAAGGACCTATATTTAATAAATCTAATCCCCCCTTGCTCTCGGGTCTTCACATGCACTTATTTGTGTCCTCTATCACATCCTTTTCAGACAATTAAAAACGAGATGATCACCGTCGCTCAGTCATCACCCCAAAGCGTCAGATAGTAACTCACAAGGCTCTTTCTTACAAGTGAGCAAAATATAATGACGTTTTTTAGGATCCTTGGACAGTGATGCTCCAGATAGGCCCATGCATCCGTGTGACTCTTATATTCATGAAATCTGGGTGGATTAAGCATTGATTGAAAGTGTTGTTGTGTACATTTTAGTACAGAACACCCGCTTTGCAGCGTTGATCTGCGGCACAGTGGTAGAATGGTTTGCTCTCTTCCGTCTCTGCAAGAAGGTCCATGGTTCAAATTGTGGTTGGAAAAGATTGAAATAAATTTGCGCTGTGACATGACCTGCATTAATGTTTTAAACCATGTAAGATAAACGTATTGAACTGACCACATGAAGGCAGTCTGTTTTTGTACTCAATTCTTGCTAAAGTTGGAGATTTCTGAGATTGAAGACTTCTTTCCTCAGAGAGAGTATAGTGATTTTATCCTGCTTCTTTGACATTTTATTCTATTTTAGTATAGAGCTATTATTCATTTATGCTCCTAATTCCTCCTACTGCACTGTAACTTTTGATGCAACACTGAAATTTCCCCACCTTATGTGTACATTTCCACCTGAGGATTATTTGAAGGTGCAGCCCTAGTTTCACTCAGCTCTTTGGGTATCAAAGCAGCCGAATTGCTCAATGAGATTATGAAACCAAGACGCACTTACATCTTTTCCTTTCATCTATTTGAGTTGTCCTCTATCTCTCGTTTCAAGGCTCCATGCACCATTAATCTGTTTCCCATACATTTTCAGATAAAACTGTGGCGCCTTAAGGGTCAAGTCCACACAGGCCACAGGCTGTTGGATATTTGAGTGTGTGTTGCTGCCACCTGTGCCTTTGCTCAATGAAAGCTGAGAGAGGCCATAAACTCAGACTTTACTCAGACTGTAGTTAGAACTAGGATGAGAGAATTGAAAGAGGCCACTCAAGCAAATTGGTACCATAATCAATCACAAACTAATGTAGTCTATTTCTAAATGAGTTGACAACTATTTGAATAATCCAGTAGTTGTGATTAATCAACTTGTTACAGCCTATACTTTTCATGTTGTGTTTGTTTTATTATCATTAGGTCCCTGTACTAGCACTGCAGCACAAACAAATGTTGATGTGAGAAGTGTTTGATGCACTGGGACACATGTGCTGTTTTGTTTTGTGATGCACAATGTTGTTTGGAGTGTTAAATGTGTTCAGGTGCAGCTGAAGTGTGAACGTTCTGCACCTGGATCTGTCATGATCAAAGTTAAATAAACAAGGGCTGTGCAAGCAGTAAACAAAAGTTTGTTGTTAAAACATTATGTGCTTAAATGCTTTGCTTCTTATTCCAGGACCCATTATCCTAAAAACATCTTACTTACCTCAGTTGGCTTTTCTTGACATGGAGAATGAGCAGCGGCTATACTCTAAGCTCCTCCAACAAATCATATAATTGAAAAGGACATTTTTGTACAGTGATATCCATATATGTGTCTTTCTTGTTTCCTATAATGTTTCTTATAATGTGACCCAAATGAATCCGACCAGAATGAAGGTGGTGGAAAGTTCTTTGATTTCGGGAAACAATTTATCTCGAAATGAGAAGGATGCAGTTTAATTCTGCACAGATGCCTATGCTTCACTACTTTTTATGACATTGTTGACATTAAACATGATAGTATAGGTGGAAGTTTCGCATTTAACCTCTAATATACTTATTAATACTTGATGCAATACATAGTTTATAATCAATCAGATTGTTTTTGCCTTACCTATTTTTAAATACGTATCATTTGTATTAATATTTACTTGATTCCAGACAATATGGACAATGGGTGGTTGTTGTATTTCAAGGAACTGCATTACATAATAACAAAATCATAATTTGCATAAAGCAACTCCCTACAGAAACAAAATCGTGGTATGACTAATGTTTCCACGATAAATGACAGAACCTTGAAATTTGAAGCCTTCCAGATGAACCCACAGACAGAGGTCTTCATTGTCACAGTCGCAGCTCCAGGGATTCCCACTGAGGCCCACGGAGCGCAGAGCCGACAGCGCGATTAGTGACGTGATGTTGAGGCTTGTCAGGTTGTTGCGGCTCACATCCAACACTTGAAGAGCTGCGTTTTCTGAAAACGCGTCCGGATGAATGTGTGACAGCCCCGGGTTGTCTGTCATCCTCAGCATGACCAGACTGGACAGAGGTCCAAACGTCCTGTCCTCTATGCTGCTCAGTGTATTAAAGGATAGGTCAAGATAGGCCAGTTTGCGTAGATTCCCGAACGTGGACTCTGAGATCTCTGAGAGGGAGTTATTGCTGCAGTCCAGGTACACCAGGTCCGAGAGGTAGTTGAGTGCGAGCGCGGGAAGCTCCTTGATCCTGTTGTTGGAGATGATGAGCTGCCGTGTGGCCAGGGGCAGATTCACCGGGAAGGCTGTCAAGTGTTGGTCGGCACATTGTACCACCAGTTGGTCATCACACACGCAGCGGTCCGGGCAACCCGTGGACAGCACAGGGGACGCGAACACCTCCGCCAAGAGCACAAGAAGTAGGACTATGAGCCGCAGGGGGTGCGCGCTTGGCTGCGGGGCAAGACGCATGACACCGAGGGCTTCATCCACCCCGTTTGGAGAGAGCCAGACCCGTTCACATTCTTCATTGATACATCCCGCGCAGATTGTTTGTTGCAGAATAGATTTCCACAGAGGTCAAATGCGAAGTCAGCGCCAAGCGCCCGCGCGTAATCTCACTCCATGCTTGTCCTCGTCCCTGTGCGCTTCTTGAACTTGATAACAGTCTGTGAAGCTGCTTCGAATGACATTTATTTATCAGGTTTCTTCTAACTGCCCTGAGCTCTATTCAGGGGTTATACACCTCTTGTCTCATGCGTGCACAACGAGTCGCCTCAGTTGTTCCACCACATGTTCCATGCGCCTCTCCTCTGAAACAGAATCCAACGGAGGGCGCGCTGAGCCGCGCGGGGAGAGAGGGTGGGGGTGTAGTTGAATATAAAGAAAGACACTCAGGAAACAACAAGAACGTTGTGAGTAATGTGCAACTTTGGATTTTTACACAATTTATTATATAATACTCAAACAGAAGCCAAAAGTCGACCTATTATTTTCAGACTATAGTGAATCAATCTAGGACAAAGATAGATTTAAGAGTTAAGGTTTAGTATACAGGCCTATTGTCCATTTTATAACAGTGCCATCTAGTGTTCAAAGTGAATGACACACATTTTACCCCTGCCCGTGGATTGAGCAACATCATGAAACCTTGTGATATATTTTGAGTGTGTGGTGTGAGAAGCCCCAGCTGCGTGCTCAGAGGAGAAAATCGGCGCACCTGATACCTCTGCACTCGTGCGCATTACATCACTTGGCCTTTGGGACTGTTTAGTGATGGGATCCCAAACAACATAGTCTAATATATTCTACATGCATCTGATCCTGTGGCCCAGTTTCATCAGAGGAACCACTCTGTAAAAGTGCATTAACTGGATGTAACCAGTGGCGAACAGAGGCGTTCCAAAGTAAACAATGATTCTGTTATTTTAAAAAAAAAAGAAAAAAATGGTGCATGTATTCATGCAGATCCCTGTGCCTTGGATTGCCTTGGAATGTTGACTACTGAATGGTCACATCTTGCACTAATGATTAAATAGAGTGCGTGAATACTCTCAGTATAATTACATGCTGTTCTGGGACGGCCTCAGAGCTATGTTTAGTGTGTTTGGCAATAAACCGCATCAAGTCCATGCAGAACACCAGAGGTAAAGTTGTGGTGAGGTTTAGTTATAAAAACATTTCCCATACTTAACATCTCACAGAGCACTGCGTAGTGCATCATCTGGGAATGGAAAGAGTATTGCACAACTTCAAACCTACCAAAACAGCTGGCTGTCTGTCTAAACTAAACCATAGACTATAAATAAACTCACATCTCAAACAAACAGGGCCAGTGGTTTCTCTGGAGCGGCTGTGGACCATGGGGGAATCTGTATGGGGAATATGTCAAACACTAAACACATCCGGCCTCTAATACCACCAGTATTAGAGGCCGGATGTGTTTAGTGTTTTATTATGAACCTAATGAGGAAATCATTTGATGGATTGAGCATCATCCTGTGGGGCTGCTTTTCTTCAGCAAGGACAGGCAACAGTGTAAGATTAAATGGGTAGGTGGATGGTGCGAAATACAAGACCATCTTGGAAGCAAAGCTGCTGAGGAAAAATATTTTTGGAATTTTTTTCCAAAAACATACTTTTCATACGATAGAATGGTTAGAAACAACATATAGTTGTATCAGAAAGTGCTGCTCACAAATGATGTATAATTTTCAGTTGTATATTACTTTGCTGTGGTCTTTCAAAAAAGGGGGGGAAAAAAATCCGAAATAAGAATGTCATAAACATGACAACAAGTGCAAGTGGTCAGTACCTTGTTTACCACTGGAAATGTAGATTAAAGAGTAAAACATTCTAATTCATTCAACAACAAAAATACTCCAGTATGGTCCAAACCTGAAATTATTTGCCACTGTATAATTCTAGACAATACTCTTTATGTGCTTGGGTTTAGACTATACTGTGCAACAGAAGTAGATAGATCTAAGAAGAAATAATTAGGAAAAGTTCAGTGTTGCACAAACTGTTAAGGGGTCATCAAAACGTTCAGGTTTCACTGGGAAGCACCAGCCCCACAGCAGGAGCTATAACACACAAAGTCTGGAACTTTTCTTCTGTTTCTATCGTGAATAAAAAAGCGCAAAATAGGACCAAATCCTGTGAAGTACCAGAAAAATTGTACAACGACGCCAAGTATACCTCCATCACTTCTCAGCAAGAACCAAGAATGTGTCTAAGTTCCATTCCCTGGTGTCATTCACTTTCCTTTTAATGTTGTGTTTGCTTAAAATAAATTACCATCGTAAATAGATGTGGTCTTTAGTTTTTACATTGTGTCTTGCTTGTGACCTGAACCTTTTCAGTAAGTAGCTCTTCTGGCCGAAAAGGAACTGTTCCAATGATGAAATGTGGAGAACGATTGCAAACGCACCAGATGGTTATCCAAACTTACTTTTTTTGACTGATTTCCTCTGTCTGGTGCCAGTAAATGTTTGTGGACTATTTAAAACTGTACAATATAGGCTGACTTTTCTTACCCTAACCCTGACAACCAGAATGCAATTGTTCATGGATTATAGATAAATGTTTAAGTTTAGATTGCATGTATATAGTAATTCCTCATGCTGACAGTTGGATTTGTGGGGTAGGGCACAGAGGCTTGTCCCTTATCCAAACACACCCAGGCGTGTCTGTGCAGCTGCTCGACTATTGTTCACTGAGTGATTAGAAACCTTTTACCTCCTTTTAACTCCAGCCACACATAATAAGGGCATATGCCACACTTCACTTCAGATTGTAGGTTGTCCTTATGTAGCCGGTCTCTCCGCGTTGTGTATTGTGTAGGTAGATGCGTCAAGAATCAAACCAGACACAGGGGTTTGTCATTCGAGGGATTTACTGTGTGAAACACAAAAAATCAAAATGCTGTATAGCACACGGCAGTCCCTGACACAGATCTGCAAACAGAAAAAGTGCCACAGACAACAGTGAGACCATGCTCGCTAGCTTAAATACACTGGCTTTTTCAAAGTGCTATAACTCGATTAAAAAACACTATTTCACACATTTACATTAAACATAAACATTGGCAAGTGCCTTATAAATCATGAACAACAAAAAGAATTGACCTAAATCAACTTTATATGAAATATTTTATAACTTGAATCACGAGAGATTTTACTGCTTACCTCCCCTCTGCTTTCTTCCCAGCAACTGAAGGGGAAGCCCGCGAACCCACAGGAAGTGGCTACACCGCCAAAATAAAAGCCTCGATTTAAAAATATACAGAAATAAAACTTAAATAAAATACCAGTAAATACTAACAAAAAAAATATGATTTTGGTGAAATTGACAAGACTCAGACCACATGGGCTACACTTAGGCCTCAATTTTTCTAACAATTTCTATTATTTAAGCCTAGAGTGCCCTGGTGAAAAAAAAAATATAGAGATATCTCACGTGACGTCACGATGCCTCGAACTCGCGGGGCATCCGCCATACTGGAGGACAAGCAAACGCTGTATGATAGTGGCGTGCACCCGGGACCGCATAAACATGTTCAACATTTTTGCCGTTTTTGGCTGCAGCAAAAGGAGAGACAGGGAAAATAAGTTGTGTTACCGACTGCCAGCCGTCCTTACTTCACACGGCTCAAAAACAGAAGACATCTCAAAGAAACGAGAGAGAAATGGCACAACCATACGCAACAACAAAAAACTAATAGCCCCCAGAGCGCCCGAATATGCTCGGATCATTTCATTTCTGCTAAGTGAAATCAATTTGATGGCGGATTTAGTGTTATTCCGAAACAAACAGAAGTTTAAGGATAAAACATATTTGTCTGACTGCAACGTGGGGTTGCTCCATAGACTGTAGCTTAGCTTGTAGCATAGCTGTTATATATTTGGGTTCACAGGGTATCTGACTTACCGAAGGCCAGCAGACATGTGAACGACTGAGCCGTGCTCGAGGGTGCCCCGTACTAGTATTTATTAATAAAATATACGGCTCCTCACAGTAGACGCAGAAAGCTCCATTGATTTGAATGTAATCTCATATTTCCACTGCAGTGTAGCCACACATAGATCAATGGTGTAACAATAAACACATTAAATGTTAATCGGAGAATACATTATACATATACATTCTTAATACACGTGCACAGAGGTTTTCAGAATTTTCTGTTTACGTTTTCATGAAAAAACACTGTTTTAATGCGACAATATGCGACCGCGGTAAACCTGGATGTAACAAATACATTTTAGGATGCATTTTCAGAGGATCTGATTCATGAATTTAGGTTGAGTATATATTTGGGTCACTAACTGCAGAAGTTTCAAATTCTCTGTTCAGTTTTCATGTAGTTCGAGAGAGTTCTAGTTTTGAACGTCCAGTTATAGATAGCTAGCAGGGCTGTTACTCGCCGAGGTTGTCCTCCAGTATGGCTGCCGTGGCTGCTAGTCACGTGACTGTAGGATCCCTCTATAGGGGCCGCATCAGGTCCAAATTCACCGTCCACCTGTTCCCTCACTGGCGAGGGGGTGGACACAGAAGGCTCACCGTGTGAGGAGAGTGCATCGTAGGTCACAGGGCCCTGTGTACTTAGAGCGGCACTTCTCGGTGGGCCAGCCAAAGGAACAGGACTCGGAAAACAATAGGAACGTAGTCAATCATAGTGAATTGTCTGTTTGGGGGCTTCATCCCCAAATGGACTTCCAATCACATATGTAACCCCAACCACGTCGTCACGGTCCTGTCTCCGCTCAATAATGTAAGGCCCCTTCCAGTGTGGGGCCAATTTACGGCGGCTCTCAGTTGGGTCATGAAGCCACACTAAATCCCCAATTTCGTAAGGCCTGTGTCTCTCTCTGTTGTCATAAAAGGTCCTCTGTTTGTCACTCGCAGTCACACTGTTATTGCGACTCTGGCGAAAGGCAGCATCCAAACGTCTACGAAGGGAAAAACAAAATCATCAATAGAGTCATATCTCTGACCAGTCTGCATAATAGGAACCAAAAACACATCCACAGGAACACGAGCCTCCCTACCATGAGTAAGAAAATAGGGCGTAAATCCTGTACTGGAATGAACGCTAGTATTGTATGCAAACGCAACCTGAGATAAGAACGAGTCCCATTCACCCTCACAAGCAAGTAGCGTTTAGTCTCTCTACCATGCCATCAAATTTAGGATTATAAGGCGTGGTATGTGTCTTTTTAACACCCAACAATGTACACAACTGCCTAACCACGTCTGACTCAAACTGTCGCCCCATGTCAGTATGAAGGGTCTCCATAACACCATGCTCCAAGATGAAATTGTTAAAGAGACACTCTGCCACGGTAGTAGCCCTCTGGTCCGCAATAGCATACATATTAACGAACTTGGTGAAATAGTCTTCCACCACCAGAACATAGCGGTTTCCTCTCGACGTGACCGGCAACTCCAATATGTCTGCCGCAACCCGCTGAAACGGGCGCTGTGCCAACGTCGTCCGCATCGGAGCACGATGGTGAGGCACAGGCGCCTTGCGCCTCTGACAGGCATAACACTGCTCACACCAAGTGCGTATGTCACAATACATACAAGGCCAGAAGCACACCCCGCGTGCACAGGCCATGGTCCGCTCCACAGCCAAATGGCCAGTCAAGGGCCCTCCATGGAGAAGACGCAGGACCTCCGGCACCAGAACCGATGGTACGACAACCTGCCATGTCTGTTCCACATCAGACAGGGCAACAACCCTGTGCACAATTCCGTCAATCATGGTCATGTCAGGATTCAAGCAGACAGAGACGGATCGTGGTGTGCCAAACTCTGGAAGTTTATTTAAGTTTCTCTCAAGTTCCAATGGTTTACTCTGTTTCTTTCTCTCAGACAGAATAAAGGCAGTACACAGTTTATATAGTCATTGTCACGTCACACATCGAAAGACATACGTGTCACAAAGAGACAGTCACATCATAGTCATAACATGGAGTCCTTGTAGAGTCCTTGTACAGTCCTGCACGTAGGCCATATTGCTATCTAATACTAACACCCTCCCCTTTGATCACATAATCACATGTGATCATTCAATTTGATCAATCAATAAAGTGGAAAAAGAAAAAAAAAAAAATTCAAAAAAAAAAAACTTTCAAAAATTATTAAAAACAAAGAAAATGTATGCATTAAACTCATAATCATCAAATCAATATCAGTGGATTTTATCCTCTATCCTGGGAAAAAACAAACAACACAAATAAAGTAAATAAACAAACAAAAAACAAATCAAAAATAAAAACCAAACAAACACTATTGGACACACAAGAACTCAGCAGATTCAGTCAAAACACAGACAAAAACGAGCTGATCACTCAAATTAGAAGCTAATTTAACTTTTCTTACTCTATACTTTTATTCTAATGCTAATTGTTTACACTTCACTCAATCTTATTTCACTTTATTATTTTAACTTTTCAATCTTAGACTGTGTACTTTACTTTTACTATTCACTATAGTTTAAAACTATTCTAATCTATTTACAAATATGTTTGCATATTTGCTTATATTGAGCCATATTTTTAAACATACATTTTAATCTAATAAATTTCTCTGTGGTATTATACTCTCATTATTAGTGGCTTATTATCAGTGGGATTTTGCTCCATGTCTATTCTCATTCTCAGGAATAAAACTGTGAACACAGTAAGGCAAATGGTCAACATTTACACTTCTATAGTGGTCAGTGATTTATTACTTTTTATTATCTAAAGATATTATTGTCAGGCAGTTTGGGATGAATGAACATCATTAATCAAATTAGTATTATCCTTACAAGAGCTAATCTATTTTTAGCAGGTTTGGGGTTGGGGTCAGTTATTCTACAATGGTATTTGTGCTGGAAACTTCTCAATATCTAAATATCTACTATACTGTTTTTGTGCTATACACAAATACATCAAAATGCTTTTAAATGCTTTTGAATCTCTGTTGGTTGTAATCTATCTCATTAATCTAGGCATTAATCTAGACTACACTCATATGGACTTTTTGCATAGTCAACATTCACTCATGTGTGAACACAAGTGAATTTGGCAAGTATCTAATAAAACTGTACATAAACTGTAATTAACTTTATCTACTTTTGAAGTAAATGTTTGTGAAATGGTCCCTTTACCATTTGATATTAACACTGGCTGGAAATATTCTCTATTTTTGAAAGCATCTATGGTTGATGCATTTATCTATCTCTATTTTTACACTATTGTGACTCCAAAGTTTGGCTGCAGTTTGAGCAAAGGCATATTCCTAATTTGTGATCTCAATAGGCATATTCCTAATTTGTGTACTATTTTAACTCTTATGTGGAAACTATCTGTCACTTTTTTTAATATCTCTAAAATACTCTGATTCTAATATTATAGCAGGTTCTGGTTGATCTATCAAAAGGATAACATTGTAGGGTACTCATTTTAACTCTTATGTGAAATATAAACAAATGTTTCTCTTCAGAATCCTCAGGTCTCAGGGTCCTCTGAGGGTGAGTTTCAGTCGTCATCAGGTCAGGTATATTTGAGAGATGTCATCTTGGACATCAGTAGGGTCCAAGCCATGGTTTTGGTCTCTCAGTTGGACATCGGAACTCAGATACAGTCTTTTCAGTTTGAAGCACATCAGGTCATTTGCGATGCACTTCTGGTCAATGGTGCAGTGCTCAGTTCTGTACACAGCTTTTATGCAGTAGTTACTTCTATGGTTAAGTCCTTTGATTTACTTTAAACACAATTTCTATTCTTGCTGTTGCTAATGTCTCAGACAAAAGCAAGCGCAGTTACTTTCTCTAATTTGTATTTTTTATCAGATCTAATTTCTTTAATCAATGTATTACTTCACACAGTACAAAATCAACAAATCAAAAGTGTCAGGACAGATCATTATGTCCTGACAATATAGAATTCAAATGAACATTTCTGGTCTCAAAAAATACAGATTCAAGTGATAGACAAATAAAATATGTGTTTACATTGGAGTAAACTTTTTAAAATGCTTTTTTCTCATGTTCTGCTTTTTCATGTATTATATGTAAATGTGAATGTGTGAGTGTATGTGTGTGTGTAGTGGTGTGTGTGTGTATGTGAATTTTGGGGTTGTGTCTCCAGGGACTCCCCGAACCACCCGTAGGTGTCAAAGGTCACACTGTGGTGATGCAAACAACTGGACACACTTTCAACTCTCCTCCAGGTCTCTCCCTGACGCTCCACCCATCACTGCCTCCAGAAACCTCTCTTTCATGGCCCCGGTCTCATCCCACTTACTTCTGTTTAGGTGGGGGAGGGGCAAGGAGGTGGCATTTCCCTTTGCTCTTTGATCTGTGACCTGTGGCTGGGTGGGCTTTGGTGTCCAGTGTCCAGCAGTGACCTCTCGTACAGTGAGGCAGAGTCTGAAAACAATCCTTGAGACGGCAATTTAAAAAAAACAATAGATATCAGTATGCGAATGAGATTGTTTTTCTTCTGAAGTCCAAAACACTTTTGGAGCGCTCTGGGATTTTCCCAAGCGCTATGTAAATAAAAGATTACTTATTATTTACTAATGATGACATTTTTAAGTACCAGAAAACTCTTAATATAAAAATAACAAGACTCAAATCTCCAAAACACCTTGAAACTTTAAAAATATGTATTATGTACTTTTTGTACTTGTGTTTAATTATCTATGCATTTTATCTCAGCATATATTTTACTTAATTTAAAATAATTGCAAGCATTTTTCAAAATGAGTCAGTATGAATTGAGCACATTTAGACCAGGTCCTGTGCTGCGTGCATCTGCAGCAGGAGGAAGGTCAGGTGCATAGTCAAAAACAAAAACTACGTCCACGCTTTGCAATGTGTGAATTGGGTAGTTTAATTAATAATACTTTTACAGCCTAATTCCCTCTTTCTTTTTTGACGACGTCTATTAATCAATAATCACTTTTAACACAGATTCTAATTTAAATGTTTGAAAACGGCTTTTGTAACTAAAAATAAAAACATAAAAAAAATTCTCACAAACAGCTATGAAATATATAAGAGATACAATAATGGACTCACAAAATAAGCAGCAGATTTAAAAGAATGGATCTAGAAATATGTTAGGTCTAAAAAGAATTGCACAGCTTTTAGCACTATCTTTGGGTTTCAAAAAAAAAAAAAAAAACATATATATTCAAAATTATTCACTAATGGTGTTTGAAAAAACGTTTAACTGTGGTCATAACACAATGTTCAAATGGCAAATTTCGCAAATTTAACGGAATAACAACTATAAAAGCCTAAATCTAAAACAGTAGCTTTGCTCTGTTCAAGAGCCAGAGCAGCGAAGGAGGGGGCCGTTTCCCTGACAACGGCAGCAAATAGTGGCAGGCGGCGACAACACTAGGCAGAAAGATACAGAAGAATAACTTTCAAGATTATTTGTTAAGCGGATATAACTTATGTTGTTCTTGTATACTTTTGTTCATCCAAGTCTAGATAATGGCACTTTCTACATAGTAACAAAAGGCACTCTTGTCTTTAACGTTTACGCTTCTATTTTGTCGAGGTAGCAAAAAACTAATTTAAACTCAAAAATCTCTTTCTAAAACACAAATACAACTGTTGGATACAAACCCTCTCCTAGTTTAACTGTAGATAAAACTCTGCAAAAATGTAAATAACTCACGAAAGCTTATAGGCTCAACTTTTAGATAAAACTCTGCATTCTCGGTGAATCTGTTCACGCCAAAAACAAAAACTCCCTTTTTCTGTATGTAATTTAACACGTGATCCACTGAAATATAACAGATGTTATTGGCTTCAACTTTTGTCATTTATCAAGCCCTGGAATTGGTTTAATTACACCAACTTTTTGTGACAAAAGGGCCTCCTTTAACTAGTTTCCCTTTTTTAATAATTATTTCTTTTTTACACATGGGTTCATAACTATTCTGCCGTAATGCTTTTTGTCGAGTAGCAACCTGTTTTGATCATGTTTAAACTGCCATTTTATCGAGGTGGGGACCTGATGATCACTTCCTCTGCCATTTTATCGAGGAGGCTTACCTGATGATCATTTAAAATGCATTTTATCGAGGTGGCTGGACCTGATGATCAATTACACTGCCATTTTATCGAGGGTTGCTTACCTTGATCTTACTATCCGATCTAATATAGATATACGACATTGGTGGACCTCAAGAAGACATAATTAGTTCACTCAATTAGCAGATTTGAATAAACAGGTGTGCTTTACTTTTGTCGAACAGGGCAGCCCCGTCAGAAGTCCACCAACATATCAGCTTTTCACGTCCAACCGGGTCTCCCGATCATGAAACCAGCCGCTCACTAGTACCGGGAAATAGTTTCCATCGGCAGAGACCAATCGCACGTTCAAAAATTCCCCGGACTGTGGAATGGGACAAACAATTTTACACGCTCAGTCAAAAAAAAACGGAACACAAAAAATATAGTGAGACCGCCAAAAAAGAGTCCGAGCGGTCGCTCTCCAGCCTGCTGGACGTCCAGGCCCAGACACTCTCAGGTTCTCCCACGCCGAGGGAAAAAGAAAACAAAGAAACCTCCCTAAAACAATCCAGAGATTGGTCTCACCAACGGCGGCGCGCTTTCCACCATAATCTGTTTAGGATTTAGGCAGAAGAGCCGGATCGTGGTGTGCAACTCTGGAAGTTTATTTAAGTTTTCTCTCAAGGTCCACTGGTTTACTCTGTTTCTTTCTCCCAGAAGAATAAAAGGCAGTACACAGTTTATAT